GTTTATTGTCGCCGTTGCCGGTGGCGTTGAAATTTGAGGTGTTGCCGGTGGCTTCGCGTGTGTCTCCTTGCGAACACCTACCATCAGCGCTTCGCGACGCGCATTCTCCTGAAATTGTTTGACCCGCTCTCTCATCGCCGTTTCACGTTTCACCTCCTTGTCGATTTCGCAACGTCGTTTTTGCTCAAACCGCTCAACTGCCACCTTATCACGCTCTTTATTACGCTCCACTATTAGCTCGGCAATCTCTAAACGCTTTTGCTTTAATTCGTCCTTTGAAAGCTTCTGAAATACTTCCGGCCAGATGCCCTTATGCTTCTTGACGAGCACAATACGCGCTTCATTCTTGAAAATGCGGCAAAAACTGGACAACTCGTCGATCTCGTGGACGAGATGGCGTTCGAAGAATATTGGCGGATTATTGAATTTTATATATTGCGGTAGGAGTACAACATCCGGTTTGCGCGTAATCAGGCGATTTAATTCGATGATTATTTTGATATCTTCCTCGGTTTGTGTTACTTGCACCATGGCTGATTGGATGAAGACTGCAAAGTGGTGCCGTTGTCGCGGCAAATGCTGACCTCTGTGTTGTTTCGGCTTGTCTGGGCGACGGGAATTCGAATTGTGTTTTGTGTGTTTTTTCATTGATTGCTGTTGCCCGACTCGATTCGATTTGTTTTTGACTTCCGTGTTTATTGTGTCATACATCAACGAAATGTATCAATATTTATTTACTTTTCTTTCAATATTCACCTGTCTGCCAGTTTCGATAGATTTATCGACCAAACAATTCGGTTGACAGCAAATCGTCCTGCTTGGTCGTTTGAGCAGCGAAATGGCGTCCACCTCTTTGCATAGATTTTAGCGCATAAACGCGAGGGTGGTTCAACAATATGTGTACATATTTTATCGCTTTATTATACTTTTGCTCCTAAAACTGAGAGCATTCTCGTATGATGCAAGATATTAATATTTTTACGTTAACAAGTGTGATAGTGATCCGAAACTTGTCTCTAACTGGTTACAGAATTTGCCTCCAGTACTCGTGTTCTCCTTAATAAAAAAAAAGACCGCGAAAAAGCTTTAGGAGCAAAAAAATCTGTAAATTTTCGAGCTTTTCAAACCCACGACATAAGCTGTTATTTTATATGGAACAAAACCGCAATACTTTCGGCAAAAAAAAATATCTAGAAAAACAACGGTAATTCTAAGACATTTGAAACTTTAAAAAGAAAAAGCTGGAAATTCGGATGAAGATTTGTTGAGATTTATTTTTAAGCGATTTAAGAAATTAACGATACTCTTAAATTTTGATATGAGAATAGAAGTCGGTTTTTTTTGCTTAAAAATTACTTTTTCCAAAAAGTTTTACACTTGGGTTTTGTTAGAATGAATTGTATTTCAATATAAAATTCTTAAAAATAAATAGGTAAACAATGAGGTTGTTCAGGCTTGCCAGGATATCAGGTTATGTGGTTACGTGGTTATATTTTTTATTCAGTTTGCAACAGTAAAGTACACTAAACAATAATAATTTTTAACCAGATAACCTGATAACCAGATTAGTATGAACATCCTCAATATGTTTAATTTTAAAAATTATTGTCGCGAAGCGTATTTTATTGTTGTACGCTGAATAAAAATATACCCACATAACCTGATAACCAGGCAAGTGTGAAAAACCTCACTATACATAAACGAACGCGAATTTCATGATTTTCGATTCTTGCGATAACGAGAATACGCTCCAACATTTCATCAATAGTGATTTTAGAACCACCCAAGAAAATACACTACACATAAAATACACTACTCTTCATCGATGTCGAATATCAATGGTAATTGTGATATTGTGCCAAAATTGACATTTGCATAACTATGCTAGAATCTTGCACAATTTTTGTTTATTTTGCATTTCATTTGTGTACCCAGTAGGAAAAATATGAATTACAAGACCTAAACCAATGTAAGTTTTAAACGAAATAGATTCAGTTCTTAGTAACTGATTCACCTTTGAGAAAAATGTGACTGTAGTTTGTTCAACAAATTTGAGGAAACGTCTTTCTTGCCCATATTATTACCAAGTTTTAAGAAATAGTTTTTCGCGTTTTCTGAGAAACAGGTACTTCTGTGGGTATGCAATATGTTGGATGGAATATTCTCAAAATTAGCAGGTATCTTTCCAATATTTAAGCCAGTGCTGAATCCACACTATTTTCCATAGAATTAAACTGATATTCAATTTATTAAATCGACTCTAGATAATCTTATATTAATAGGCTAACATAAATTTTGACAACCTTCATTTGACGGTTCTACTGGACAAATTTTGGAGCCAATAACACACCAGAAAAGTAGATGATGAAAATGTTTATGGTTGTAAAATCGTTGCAAGCTCTTCCATTTGATTTGTATTTGATTTGCTAACGGTGTACGAACACGAATATGAAGACGAATACAAAGAGGAGTACTAGAAGCGGATGAATACGAAGATGATTGCGAAAACTAATGCAAATACAGTACTAAAACTAATACGAATACGAACATGGAGATTAATACGAAGAAAACAAAAAACACGAAGATGAATTTGAAGATGAATACGACGACGAAGTCGAAGATAAATACGAAGAAGAATATTAAGACGAATACGAATACTAACACGAACACATTCCGAAGTCGAACTCGAAGACAATGACTAAAACGAACCAGAAGGTGAATGCAAAGGCTACTACGAACGCGAATATGTTCGTACGGGACTCTTAAGACAACTACAAAACCGCTCGAATTTCGGCAGCAATTGGCCCCTAGCTCCTACTTTGCCTGTAGCTCCTACTTTGTTAAACATATTTTAATTGAAGCGCATAGTAAATTGTGCTTTAGAACTCCAGAATATGACACGTATTTCTTACAAGGAATATGCCTGTAACTAAAAATAGGCCAGCGAAAAAATGTTTTGCGGCTTTTTTAAGTCTTTTTTGAGTTAGAAAAAAAAAAAGATGATTAATTGAAGCGGCTGTCATAGTCGAGTAGCTAAAAGTTCATACTGTCAATAGATATAACCCAGGTTCGACCCATGGTGAAATTATATCTTATTTGAAAATTTGTCTTTAAAAATTTCTATAAGATTGCCGAATGTCAAGAAAATCAAAAAAAAATAAAGTTAGTAGTTTCACCATGGGTCCGACCCCTGTCAATGAAACCTCTAACAACATAATTTTTTTCTTTTTTCTAATACCATCGACCACTGGGCAGGCAATGACAAACCTACGGAGTATATTTCTGAATAAACGAGCTTCTCATAAAAATAATGTTTGCCGCTTGTAGGCCAATTTATATGTTTGACAACGTCAACGAGTTTGCATAGTACAGTTTGGAGCAGAAACTTGGCCAAACAATTAGCAAAGATGTGACTTCCAAACAGTTATCGAGAAGGCAAATAAAGCTATTCAATATTCAGCACTTGCTACTTTTCTACGACAAATGGTTTATATGCCATTGTTTATGTGCCATATATGCAAAACAGCTGTCAAAACTGTTACGGAGAATAAAGAATTTCATTCTCTTTCCTGCCCAAGATATTAAGAAACAAATAAATTAGGCAGAAAACTTCGATTTCATGGAATTTCTACAATGTCGACAAGATTGTATATTAACATATGAGTTCATCATTCGTATTCTACTTTTGGTGCCAGGTCATACATTCATACAAGAAAGTTGCGCTGTAGGTCAGAATACAACCCTAGGACGGCTCGACAAATATAGCGCAACATTTAGCAGAAACAAACTAACTCATTCATTTCCTTTAGAACAGGAATGCTTAAAAAATTTAACTTGCTGAGCCAAACGACAACGTCAACAAAAATTATTAGACTCAAACGATAAGAGCACGCCGAGTGACCTTCAACAAGAACCCCAATTCGTACCACTTTCATATAGTCCAATGCTGAATGAAGTTCAAAAAAAGTGATAGCTGATATTTCTTATGGAAATGATGTATTACTGTAACGTGTTTCACCAAAAAAAGGATTAATCAAAATCATCTACCCAAAATATAATGATTAATTGAATTATTCTTTTGACAGTGAACCGGTTCCGTGATTTATCGCACAAGTTAAAATTTACAAATGTTTCACTTTTAATATCGCAACACTTCTCAACGCAACAATGCAACTCACCCCTTGTGCCAGCGCACTGAATCAAACAAAAACCCGAGCCCGAGGAAGACACGTGTCCTGCTTAAATCCTTCACACAAATGCCAACAATTCGTGTGACAAGAGGTGCATTCACATTTGGAAAGCGTAGTAGTTGTAAGTGCGAAAGCGTGTAAAGTATGTATGTAAGTCCGCAGAACATTTGTCATAAATTACTACGAAAAACATGGTTGAACTACTACAAGCATGCGTTGTTCTTCAGAGTTCCGTAGTGGAATCGTTGTCATCATTTTACGCCTGTAAACGTCACGCATGCGTGCGTGCACTCTTCACACGTCAAGCACCGATCTCATCAACAGTCTGAGCCAACAATAAGCGCACTATCTATCGGTCTGTCTGCGATGGTCATGGCCATGGTGATGATCATGTCAGCCGTCAATCAAAGTCGTGTAGTCGCGAGTGTAGGATCACACGCATGCGCAGTGGTGAAGAGCAGTAAGTAGTACATACATACATATCGTCGTTTAAAGTACAAAACCGCGTATCAAGAAAATGCAAAACCGCATAAATTTTTTTCTAGAGACTAAAAACATTCATGTTTCAAAATGGTTCTCTCTTTTATAAGGTAATCGCATTTATGGCTAGTATATTTCAGGACGAATGGATAAGGATTGTGCCAAGAGCTTGTGTGAGCAAATCCAATTTTTGCCAGCAAATGTCAGTTACGCCTTTTTTGCAGAATGGCAATACGCGGTTTTGTACTTTAAACGACGATTTGTATGTAGTTATGTTTATGAACAGATGCGTACGTCTATACATACAGACATAAATATGAACGTAAGTATGCGCCTATAGACAATAGAGCAAAAATTTGAATGGAAAGCGGGCAAGTGAGCGCTGCGTGTTAAATTCGCAGGCCGGCCAATGACAGTGAAAAACAGCACCAACAACAACAACAACACCAACAAGGGGACAACGACAAAAATTAATGGCACAGCTGTTTGACACCATTATTTGTCTAACTGCTTAGCCATTTGTCTGTCTGTCCAGCCAAATAGGGCAATCACATCGCTACAATCCTCCTCTTTACCATATTTTTTCAAATTCAAATTTTTGCTGGCTTTTAATCACCGTCGATCGTCGTCCAATGGGACACCGGTGACCGCGCCAATGGTGGTTGCTCGCTTGAATGCTTCGATTGCCACCAAATTTACGAGTTGTATAATTACAAGGTTCACTTCTCAAAATCTTCAATAATTTTTAGTTGCATTTCTGATTTATTTTTGCTTTGGACAGCTAAAACCGATTTACCTACAGGCAAATTGTTCGTCCCAAGCAAGTACGAATCGGTTCCTCTATGTATGTACATATGTATG